AGGGGGAGACGGAGGGACACTGCGCGGTGGCCGCAGGTCCCTGCCACTAACCCCGCTGTCCAGCGGCCTGGAGCGGGAAGCTCCAGCAGCGACTTTGCCCGGCCACTTAGGGTTCACAAGGCAGAGAGAGAGCGCGTGAGGATCTGGGGGTGGCGGGGACCCCTAAGCCCTCTCCCCAGCGAAGGGTGGGGTGGTGAGCCGGCCAGGAATAGCCCCCCGAGCCCGACCAGAGCGGCGGCGAGGGGCGCCCCCCTGGCTGAACTCCGGGGGCTGGCGGGAGCCGGCACGTGCAGGGTTAACGAAGTTGACATAGTGGGGGTCTCCCCAGGGGAGACCCACCCCGCACGCGCCCCCGGCCCCTACACACACACACACACACACACGAGCGCGCGCGCGCGCACTTTCCCGGGGATTTCGGGCCCCCAGCCCCTCTGACGTCACTGGGGGTTGCCATGACAACCGGCCGAAGTTCCCAAATAAAAATGACCGCGGGCGGGGGTTAAGTTTCCAAGGAGGCAGCCGACGGGTAAACAATGGCGGAGGCGGGCGGGGCCGGCGAGGGGCCTCTCCCCGCCCACCCACCCAATTCCGTGGGCACCCGGGGGTCGCCGTCCGGGCCCCCCCAACCCCGAGACCCCAGGACCCCTCCGGCACCCAGAGCCCACTTGGCGCGCTCTCCAGGGGAGCCACAGGGCCAGGGGGCGGGCGCCGGCGGGGGAACAAAGGGGACCCGGGGGCCGCCCCGCGCACGCCCCCTCCCCCCCGGCCCGCCCGCCGGCGCTCCCAGCTGCCGGCTCCCACATCTGGCGGCCGCGCGCGCTCGCTTCCTGTCGCCCCGGCCCGGCTGGAAAGGAGGCAAAAAATAACCCGCCCCTCCCCCGCCGGCGGGTGCAGACGCCGGGGGCGGGGGGCCTCCCCGGCTGGAGGGGGGGGGGGGGGGGGCTGAGGCCAAGGACGCTAGGGGGCGCCTGCTGCATTTCTTGGGTCCAAGCCGCACTCTGGGCTAACAAGGGGGAGCGGGGTGCAAGCGTGGGTCACCCAAATTAAAAAAAAAAAAAGGCTCCCGGCCTCAGTTTACCGAGCTGTAAAAAGGGTAGGCTAGCCCTCACTTCAAAGCTCAACTTGATCAGTGGCTGTTAGGGGGAATCGGTACCCGCCCCCATCCTCAGGGACCCCTGAGACACCCCCCCACCAAGCATGCTTGGCAGATAACACACCCAACAGCCAATTGTATGTGATTTCCAGATAACGGATCTTTTTAAAATATTTGTGCAGAGAAATCGGGCTCTGCTCCGCCGGTTCACTCCCAATGACCAGGACTGGGCCAGGCACAAGCCAGGAGCTGGGAACCCCGTCCCACGTGGGTGGCAGGAACCCAATTACTTGAACCATCCGTGCTGCTCCCCACCCCCACCCCCCCGGGAGGTCTGCACTAGCAGGAAGCCCCAAGCAAGTCGCCAACCCACGAACTCCTACGTGGATGTGGCTGCCCTAACGGCCAGGACCCCCTCTTTTTTTTTTTTTTTAGTATATATTGCGTATCCATAATCCGAAATCCTTAGCACGAAAAATGTCTAGGTTTCAGGTCTTGGAATATTGGCCTCTGCAGCACGAACCTTGTGGGTGAACGCAAGCCTCCTCGTGTGGAATTTTCCACTGGGGGGGCGGGGGCGGACCCCTAAACGTGCGGACTTGGGAGCAGCTCCGATCTGGGATCTGGGGACGAGGTGAGCTCAAGCTGCAGGGTTCGTCTTCTGCACTGATTGGGACGGAGGAGTTCTGTGTAAGATGAAGTGGTTTTTATACGTGGGGCTGGCATTGCTGCTTGGGAAATGTATCTCGTATTGGAGCTGACTTCAGGGCCTGGCTGCCCTGTGTCCGATCCAGCTCCCTGGGAGGCGGCAGGAGAGCCTGCGGCACTGGCATCCCTGGCCGCACACTTATCCCCTTCCACCTGCCTTAGCCGTTGTACCCATTCTCCAGAGAGGGACAATAAAGTCCAATCGCGTCTCCCCCATCCCCGCCACCCCTCCCCGGGTCTCCACCACGGGCGGCCGCCCAGCCGCAAGGGTTATGCACCTTGCTGGGAAGGGCTAGGGAGCCCTCCACGCTGCTCCGGTTCAACCTTAGCCCTGCCGCTGTGCGATACAGTTTCCCCATCGAGTGGTTGAAATACACACGCAGTCAGTCAGTGATCCTCAGGCCGGCAGGGGGTTGGCAGAAAGCCAGAAGCCCCCTCCCCCAACACCACCCAGCTCCCCCAAATCACCCCAAGGGAAAAACGCCTCCGACCCCTTGGTTCCAACTCTGGCCCAGTTCCTCACCCCTCTCCCAGAAGGCCACTGCGTCCGTCCCCGGAGCCCCCGCGCAGCGCCCACCCCGGGCAGGGGACTCGAACCTGGGTCCCCGCCTGTGCGACCGGGCGGGCTGGCGGGCGGCGGCGGCAGTTGCCTAGCAACGCGCTGTTTGTTGGCGCGGGGGGGCGGGACCGGCGCCGTGACTCACCGCGGCGTGATGCGGACGGGCGCGGCGCCGGCAGCCTGGCGGGCGGCCCGGGCGGCGGCGGCAGGGCCGGGCTGCGGGGGCGCCGGGGCCCCGAGTGGGCGCCCCTGCCCTGGGGCTGCGCGGTTCGAATCCCACGGCACCATCTCTCCCTCCATCTCTATCGCTCTCTCCCTCCTTTTCTCTGTCTGTCTCGCTCTCTCACTTTGGGGCTTGCCTTAGTTTACCCACCCGTGGACTGGAGGCGACCCTGGCGGCGGCAGTAACCCCCTCCCCTGGTGCCTAAGGCAGCTGACCTGGGGGTGGCGGGGCAGGGTGGGGCCCGATGGGACCCGGTGGGACCCTCCTCCCAGTCCGCTGCCCCGTACCTGGTTCTGGGAGAACGAGGAGGAGCCAGGTGGCAGGCCCCGCCCCCGGGACAGGTGACCGGAAAGTAGCCGCCTTCCGCGCTCAGCCTTCCCACACCCCTCACACCTCCCCAGGCTGGGACCCGCCGCACCTGCTGCTGCGGGCTGGGGCCTGGGCCTATGAGTCAGCGCCCAGCAATGAGGCGTGAGTCACGCAGGGCGGGGTCCCCCCGCGGCCCCACCCCCCCAGCCGCTCCCACAAAGGTTCTTTGAGTTCCTCACCCAGCCCACCCCCTCGCCCGGCCCCCAGGCCAGGCCCGTGGAACCCTGGAGGCCTGTGGGGGGCAGGGAGCAGAAGGGGGGGTGGGGAGGTGGGGGCTGGCTCTGGGAACAGTCAGCAGGGGGCAGCTGGGCCACCCTGGGGGCCTGGGGTGGGGGAGGGGCTTCCAGGCCACTGGAGTCCTGGGGTCAACCTGGGGGCTGGGACCCCTACTACTTGGTTCTTTGCAAGCCCCTGGTCCCTTAGCTGGAGAGAGGGCTGAGCCCCATCCACTGGTTCACCCCCCCCAAATGCCCACCACAGCTGGATCTGGGCCAGACTGAAGCCAGGAGCTCCATCCGGGTCTCCCACGGGGGTGGCGGGGGCCCCAGCACTTGGGCGTCTTCCACTGCTTTCCCAGGATGTGCTAAGGGCTGAGCCATAACCTAGCCCACACCTCGTCTGGGATTTTTGAAAATGGAAATGCAGGCAAAAAAAAAAAAAAAAAAAAAAGACCACGACTCACCAAATCCCCAGATTCGCAGTAGAAACAAACATAATTAATTAATTAAATAAGCCAGGATCCTGGAACAGGGCTGGAATTCGGAAGAAGTGACAGAAGTGAGTCACAGCAGGACAGGCTGGGAGTCGCCGGAGGTCTTGTCCCGAGACAGCGAGGGGCCAGCGCTGGGGCATATCGGGTTAAGCCCCAGCTGGCAGTGCCGGCATCCCATGTGGGTGCCGGTTCGAGTCCCGGCTGCTCCACTTTTAAAGATTTAGTTTATTTGGAAGGCAGAGAGAGAGAGAGGTTTTCCATCCGCTGGTTCACTCCCCAGATGGCCGCAACAGCCGGAGCTGGGCCGATCCGAAGCCAGGAGCCAGGAGCTTCCTCCTGGTCTCCCACGCGGATGCAGGGACTTTCTTCCAAAAAACAAACAAACAAAAAAAAACAACCCTCTCTGAAGCCTTGTCTTAGTTCAGTCTAAACTCCTCACCAGCCGGCAAACCCCCGTATGACCTCACCTCCTCTGAGAAGTCTTCCCTGCTTTCCACCGCCTTTCTCCAAGTACCTCTCTCGCGTCCCCTGCTCTCTGCACTGGACACTCTGCCTGGTTGCCCAGTAGCGACAGGACTGTCCCCCTACCAGCAGGCCACGCATGGGGACCATCTCCACCGTGAGCAGCAGGTGCGCCCAAGGACCTGGTCTACACTGCAGGGTAGAAAGTGCTGACTCTGGAGACCCCAACGTGTGTGCACAGGAGACAGCAAACACCTGGAAGACGTTAACCAGGGTGCCGTGTGGCTGTGCAAAGGCCCTGTGGCTGGACACGCCTGGAGAGAGGAGAGGGAACTGAGGGCAGGACGGGGACCGGGCAGAGGGTGCAGGCTCCGGGGAGGGTTTTAGGTTTTGCTCATGGCGAAGTGGGAGCCACACGAGGCTCTAGGCAGAGGAGGGACCGGGCTGGGAGTGGGTGCCCACAGGCGCCCTCTGCCGGCCCTGGGCGGGGTGGGGGAGGGGCAGACCTTGGGGGTTGACCAGAGCAGGGACGTCGTGGCTGGATCTGGGCGAAGACGAGGGGTGCTGGACGCGCGTGGGAGCCCAGCAGGCGGCGGGATTCCAGGTGCTTCTGGGAGGAACAGTCACGGAGGTCGTTAATGGGTTGCTGAGAGCTGAGAGCCCGCGGTCCCCCACAGCCGGGTGCACGCGAAGGGACCCCGTATCCTGTGCCTCCCTGCGGCTCCTCTTGGGGCTCTGGTTGGATGAGGAGAGAGGCGCCCCCGCCCACATCTGGGTCCCCAGGAGACCCTTTGAGGAGGTGGCCAGGGGCGGTGGGGGGAGTCTCCTGGGGAGGGGGGTGCAGGAAGAGCCTTTGCTGAGTCATAGCCCAGAGATGCCCGCGTGAGTCAGCACTGGCAGGGCCCCAGGAACGGGGAATGGCGGTGGGCAGGAGGGCGCTTCCTACGCCCCAGGAACCAGGCACCGCGGGACATTCGTGGTGGGGTGGTTCCGGGGCGGAGGAGCCGGGTGATGCCCAAGAAAACTCTCTCTCGTTCTGACCCAGTTCAGGAAGGCAGAAGTTGCTTGCCAGGCCCAGAGAAGGCAGTGCAGCAAGAAGGGCGGGAGCTAGATCCTCACAGGGACCGCCGGCCGGGGACACCTCTGCGGAGACGCGGAGCAGCTTCCTCGTGGGGACTCTGCGTTCGGCCCAGACTACCTAGGGGCTTGTGCAGGCGGACAGAATCTGAGCCCGGGCCTGCGAGCCGGGTGGGGGCGCCGCCGGAGCAGGACTGCGACGGGCTCTGGAGTCTTCTGCCCCCTGCTGGTGGCGGCGCGGAAAGACTTGGTGAAGAAGTCAAGGCTTTGGCTCTCTCTGGGCCTTTGGGGGGGAGGGGGGCCAGAAAAGGAGGGTCCTGTGGAAGATGCTCCTCCTTGCAGCCACCTCCCCATATAGAATCATTGCTCCCCCAAACAGCCGCCCTGGCGTGCAGGAAGTGAGACTTGTATGTGCTTGTGACGGGTGACTGACTGAATGCAGCCCTCTCCCATCTCATTGGCTCACACCCCCTCCCTCCCATGGCCCCCAAATAAACCTGTCCTTGGTACAGAGCAGGACTCCGCTCCCTGGAGGTGGTGTGGGGGGCACAGAAATAAAGAGAACGAGTTACGGGGTCAGCTCAGCCCTGGCTCATGCAGGCTAACAGAACTTCTGTCCATCTGTCCACCTGCCGTGGCCGTGGCTGGGAACTACCTGTGCCCTGGGGAGGGGGTCTGTGCCCATATCCCTGTGACTTAGTCACTTGTGTGCTGTTGGGGGGGTTGGTGTGCGTCTCAGGGAGCTCACGGGAGCCCCACGCGGTGGTCTGGTTCAGTGCCTGTCTCTTGGATGTGTGTATGTGTCCACGCCACCTGGCCACCCCAGATACACCCGTGCCTGTGTGTGTGTGTGGGCGCCTCCACGGGGTCTCCTGTGCTTCTGGGGAGTGGGGTGGGGTCGGGGTGGGGGGTGCTCCTGCCCTTGGCACCTGGTGTGTCTGCCAACTCCCTGGGTGTGTGTGTGGGGGGAGGTCTGTCTCCCTGGGCGCTGAGCCCGAAGCCGCACACCTGGTGTGTTTGCGCAGGGGCTGTATCCTGGGTCCCTGCCTGCCAATTTCCCTGCGTCCCCTCGGGTCCCTGGCTGCACTGTGGCTGTGCACGCGTCTGGGGACTTCCGGGTGTCCCTCTCCGTGCAGCCTCGTCCCTGGACAAGCCCCTCGTGGCCCTCACCTCCCAATCCCCCCCTCCCCAAGCCCCGTGGGTGCGCAGCCCCCTGCACTCTGCTTCCCCCTCGGTCCGCCCTCCTTGAAAGTCGGTGTGCGCCCGGGTCCCTGCGGGTGCCCGCCCGAGCACTCGTGTGCCCCCGCCACCCCGGGGAGCCGCGTCCCGGCGCCCCGTTAGGCTTCTCCCCTCGCACCCCACCCCCACGCCCACCCCACGGCGTGCGTCCCCTGGGTGCGCCCGGCCCAAAGGCCGCCGGGCGCTCACGGCCACGGCTGAACCCCACCGCCCGGCGCGGTGCGGGGCGGAGGGAGGGGGCGGCGGCGGGGAGCGCGGGCGCGTCACCGAGACAGACAGGCGGGCGGGCGGGCGGCGGCGGCCGCGGGTTCGAGCCGGCGCCGGAGCCCCCCGCGGCCCCCTCCTCCCCAACCCCCCAGCCCGGCCCCCGGAGCCGCGGCCGCCGCCGCCGCAATGCAATTTCCCGTGCAGGCGCCTGGGCTCCGGGGGACCTTTCCGGGCGGGTTTTGGAAAGAAGAGGGGGCCCCAGCGGCGGCAGCCCCCAACGAGGTGAGCGCGCGGGCGCCGGGCGGGCCGGGGGCGCGGCGGGGCGGGACGCGGCGGCGGCCCCCGCGCCGCACCTGCTCGCGGCCCGCGGGGGCGCCCCGGCCTCTGCGGGCCGGGCCCTCCATTGTTGCTGCGGCTGGCGAAGGGGGCGGGGAGGCCCCGGCGGCAGCTCCGCCGCCCTCGCCTTCCCCGCCCCGGGAAACGGGGCGCCGCGGGCGCCAGACCCACAACCCCAGGGGGCCGCCTGCTGGGGCGGGCGGGGCCGGCCGATGCGTGATGGGCGGGCGGCGGCCAGCTTTGTTCTTGGGGGCGCGAGCGGACCCGGCCCTCGGAGGCCGAGATCGGGCGGACTCCTCCGGCCAAGTTCACGGGCGCGCGGGCCTGCGCGGGCCCTGGCGGAGGGCCGATCCCGGCGGGGGCATTCTCCCCCCACCCCACCCCACCCCAGTTCAGCCATGGGCAGGGGGCTGCCGCGGCGCCCACCCGCCGGCCTGTCCCGGGCAGCCAGTGTTTGCAGGGCGTGGCCTGGGCCAAGGTTTGAGAACTCTCCCTCCAAAACTGGCCATTAAAAGGGGAAAGAATGGCCCCGAGTCGCAGGGCTACGGGAGCCCGTTTAAAGCGACAGAGCGCTTTGCCCAGGGACCCGGCTGTGCAGGGCAGAGTCGGGGGGGAGTGGGGATGGGGGGCGGGAGACGAAGACCCCTCATTGGCTGATGGAGGCTGAGAGGTGCCCCCTCCCCATCTGCTTCCCCCACAAATACAATGACATATTCCCAAGTCCCGATGAAGACCCCTCCCCAAAACCCCGCACCCCCCTACACACACACACACACACATACACACAGGCATCCATTGCCCCAAGCAACACTGGGATTCATGCTTGTTCCACGGGCAGCGGGCGAGCACACGCATCGCATCACCCCCAAGGGCCGACCCCCGCCCCTCCTCTGTGAGATAACGGGGTTCTGATTCCAGCTTCCTGCTTGGCGCACACCCGGGGAGGCAGCTCGTACTTGGGGGTCCCTGCCGCCCGCCGTTTCTGGGAGGCGCAGTTCCCTGGATTCCAGCTTTTCCCGGCCTGGCCCTGGCTTGGTGGGCTTTCTGGGGGGTGAACCTGTGGCATCCCCCGTTCTCTCTGCCTCGCCCAAGAAAGAGAGAGAAAGGAAAATGTTTATTTGGGTGCAAAAGAAAGGCGCAGTCTGTGTATAGTTTTTCCATAATACACATCTGGAATGAATTTTTAAAAGATTTATGCATTTATTTGAAAGGCGGTGTTACAGAGGGAGAGAGAGAGAGAGAAAGAGAGAGATGGAGAGAGGTCTTCTATCCACTGGTTCACTCCCCAAATGGCTAAAACAGCTGGAGCTGTGCCGATCCGAAGCCTGGAGCCGGGAGCTCCATCCGGGTCTCCCACGCGGATGCAGGGGCCCAAGGATTTGGGCCATCCTCCACTGCTTTCCCAGGCGCATTAGCAGGGAGCTGGATCGGAGGCAGAGCAGCAGGGACTTGAACCAGCGCCCATGTGGATGCTGGCGTCATAGGTGGAGGCTTAACCTGCTATGCCACAACACCAGCCCCTTAGTGAACTTTTGAATACTTGCTTTTTTTTATATTTGCGCTAAAATACAGAAACTTAGAAGTACTCTCATATGTGCACACTGACACATGCACACACACAGACCCATGGGGAAATCGCATGCAGCCGCACACATCCCAGTCCCCGGATGGGTAACAACCCCAATACAGCCACCAAGCAGAGCAAACTCCTTGCCTTCCCAGAGCTGAGATTGTAGTGGGATGGGGGAGGGGGACACCGCTATGGGGTGACACCAACACACACACACAGAGACACAGACACATACCCACCTGGACTCCCAGACACACACAGGGCAGCCCAGTCCATTAGCAGGTGCACTAACAGATACTGGCCCCAACCCCGTGAACCTCAGGGTAGCATCTCACCAACTCCATTCCCTGCCCCCACCCCAGCCAGCTTCGGGCTTGCTCAGCGTTCTGCGTGCAGCTGGGCCTGGGAGGGAGGCTGGGGTTCCAGGCTCCACCCACTGGTGTCCCAGGCGGTTGCAAAGGAAGCCGGGAGGAAGTGAGGGAGCACCTAAGGCCAGGCTGGGAGCACCCACAGGAGGAATTCCCCCGTGGCTGGCTGGCTGCCAGTGTAGACAGCCAGCCGGGGCCACCCACAGCACACCATAGAGACTCCCCTGGAGCAGGGCTGGGGCTGTAACAGGCTTTGCCTGCCTGGTCACGGCCATTCCGCTGTGTCACCAGGTGGATGTGACGGTGGATGTGACAGTGGATGTGACGAGGCTCCCAGCCCCCGCCCCCGCCTCTCCCCTAGCTCTGCCCCTCTGATCTTGAAAGGGGGGCTTGTTCTTAAACTTGATGGCTGAGCTGCTCCCAGTGCGTCTCCCACTAAGACCACTGTCCTGGTGCCCCTGACCCCAGACCTGTGCCAGCCGCCCTGCTTTCCCGTGCTCACCCCCACCCCAGTCCCCGGAACCAGGGCCAGCGACTGCCTGGTATCCCCTTCAGACCCACCCTCCCGGCCACGTGGCTGGCTGGCTGGCTGGCTGGCGGAGCAGCTGGGGAGGGGACTGGAGCCATCAGCAGCCACCAGACGCAGACACACACCCCTCAACAGGGATGGGGGCAAAGCTGTGGAGCAACCGTGACCGCTGAAGGTTCCCTCAGTTTACCAGTGGATGAAATGGGTCTCCTCGTCTGGCACGTGGTCAGCCACGCCCCCCCACCTACCCTGTGTGTAGGGGGAGTCAGGGGGAGTCAGGAGTGTAGGGGGAGCCAGCCAGAGCCCTGTTCCAGGCCTGACTGCCCCCTACCCACAGTGGGAATGGTGGGGTCCTGACGGCCACGTGCAGGGGTCACAGACCCCAGGCAGGAGGCTGAGTGGGCAGGATCTGGGGCCAGGGCTCCACCTATGGGTGGGTGGGGCTTCAGATCTGGGGCCAGAGTTCCATCCATGAGGGGGGCTTCAATAAGGCACCCGAGGGGCATCTGGATTAGGCCTGTTCGGGGTGACCCAGGGGACTCCGGGGGTGCCCTGTGGGGATCCCTGAGGGGGCGGGGCTCTGAGGGAGGGGCCAGCTGGGGAAGGGACCCAGAGGAGAGGCTGAGGGGGCTGAGTTTATGGGGGTTGAAAGCAGGGGATGGGCTCTCGAGAGGGGGTGTCCCAGGGATAAGGCTTACGGGGGCGGGTCCGGGGGAGGGGGCTTTGGTTGGTGGGGCTCTGGGTGGGGGGATCCCCCTGGGGTTGCTGTGCAGGCTCCTGGGACTTAAGCGCCATCCGCTTTAGAAGTTCCTTTGGGGGGTCAGTGGTCCCTGGCAGGTCGCTCTTGCAGGGATGCGGGACAGGGGAGGTTCCCAACCACCCCTTTATGCTTCCCAGTGCTTGGCTGTGAGGTTGGGGAAGCTAGCGGGGCTGAACTTGGCTTTGGGGGAGGGTCCTCTAGGGGAGATGGGTGCTGGGCGAGGCGGCATTTTGCAACGTGGCAGCCACTGGGTCCAAAGGCTTCAATGAGCCTTGCCTGGTCTTGGGGCTCCCCCCCCACCGCACACCCTGCCCCTCCTCTTTGCAGGGTGGGATGTGGGCGGTTTCACAGGCTCATCAACAACACTCCAGGCCCCACAGGCCAAGGTAATACATTGTATTCAGATGCCTTGTTTATCACCATTGTAGAGTGGGAAGGGACCCTATTGCTTTGTGCTTCACTCCCACCCAACCCCCCAGGTGCCCCCCAAGAACCAGGTGAGGAGGAGGGGGAAGGAGGGACATTTGCATCTCTCAAGTCAGAGCCTGCAGTTGGCATCTAGTGTTTGCAGCCCTGGGACCTTGCCTCTCTCTCTCTCTCTCTCTCTCTCTGCCCAGTCGGGTCCCTAAGATTTTTGCCAAGGGTTTGGGGGAACATTCAACCTGTCGGTGAGTTTGGAAGGCTCAGGCAAACCATCGACCGTTGAGTGGACCCTGAGGCCTGGAACCAGCATCTTCTGGAAACTTCTAGATCTGGGGGCACCCCGCTCCCACCTCGCAAAGGTCACAATCAACATTCATTGTTGTCGGTGGGTTGTGAGGACACAGGCCAGACCCACGGGCAGGTGAATGTCATTGTGGCTGGGCCAGACAGCCTGAGGGGGTGGGAAAGGGGCGGGCTGACGAAGGGAGGCTGGGATCCAGTGTGGGGAAAGGGGCTGGCAGGTGGCTGGGTTCTGCTCCCCAGCAGTGAGTCCTGGCCCAGCTTTCTCCCCTGGGCTTTCTGGCTGCAGACCCCAGTCCGAGCCCTTGGCTGTGAGACCCCTGCATGGGGAACAGGTGCAGCCGCCACATCCCACCTCCTGGAGCACCTTCTTCCACTTGGGATCCGGCTCCCTGCTAACTGCGCCTGGGAAAAGCAGCAGAAGATGGCCCAAGTCCTTGGGTCCATGTAGCCACGTGGGAGACCCGGATGAAGCTCCTGACTCCTGCCATTGAGGTCATCTGGGGATGACCAGCAGATGGAAGACCTCTCCCTCTCTCTCTAACTCTGGCTTTCAGATCAATAAATAAATCTTTAAAAAAAAAAAAACACTACCCTCTGATTCCCACTTTGTGTCTTGTCTGGCTCTCCCCTCCCTGTCCCAGCCAGGCCAGGGCGGGAGCCACAGAGATCCAGAGCACGGCCCCCCACTCCCCAAAGAGCCCAGAGGCAGGAACCAAGCCCTTTCCCCTTCCTCCTGTAGCCCCAGGGAAAGGAAGAGAGAAGTTACTAAGTTGCTATCTCTTAGAGTTCCCAAACCACCCACTGGGTGATGCTACAGAGGCAGACTTGGTACCAGAAAAACAGGAGGGGGGAATCTCCTGCTCCCCCAGCCCCCCCCAGTGCCCTGGGGGCTTGGAGGAGGGCAGTTATGCAGCCCCTCCTGGAGTTTGTGTCTGGCTACCCAGCTCCTCCCACCAGCACTAAGTGTATTCCCTGAACAGGTGCATTGGTGGGGGGGCAGCCCCCCTCAGCCCCCTCCCCATGACAGCAAGGAGCCTCCTCCTGTCTGCTCCACCCCTTGGAGGTTAAAGGGAAGAATTGAATCGAGAGGGCCAGGTTCCAGGGAGACAGCAGTCCCGGGGCAGGGCCCTCTGCACCATCCAGCCATGGGGACTTTCGACCTGTGGACGGATTACCTGGGTTTGGCGCGCCTGGTGGGGGCTCTCCGTGTGGAAGAAGATCCCCAAGCCAAGCTGGAGCCCCAGCCCCAGCCCCAGCCCCAGCCCCAGCCCCAGCCCACGGAGGATCCGAAGCCGCCCGGCCCCGAGCCCCCGCCACCCGGCCCCGAGCGCCTGTGTTCCTTCTGCAAGCACAATGGGGAGTCGCGGGCCATCTACCAGTCCCACGCGCTCAAAGACGAGGCCGGCCGGGTGCTGTGTCCTATCCTGCGAGACTACGTGTGCCCACAGTGCGGCGCCACGCGGGAGCATGCCCACACCCGGCGCTTCTGCCCGCTCACCGGCCAGGGCTACACCTCCGTGTACAGCTGCACCACGCGCAACTCCGCCGGCAGGAAGCTGTTCCGGCCCGACAAGGCGAAGGCCCAGGACCCTGGCGGCAGCCAGCACCAGCACCAGCGGCGAGGAGGTGCCTGGGCAGGTGGCTGGAGGGCGGGGGTGGGCACAGGGGCGCCATCCTAGGCTCCTGCGTGAGCTCTTCTGGGGTCCCCTGGCATGTGGGGTTGGCATGGGAGGGGAAGTTGGGAGGCGGGCGCTGGGGTTTTGCTGTGTGAACTTGGGCTAGTCACTCTCCCCCTCTGGGCCCAACAGGGGCTGGGGTGGGGAGAGGCCAGCTTTTCCATGGCACGAGGTGAGCCGGCCGGCTGGGAGGTTTGTGGACCACAGGGGTGTGGGGGGCTCCCATTCACACTGGGAGCTGTGTGGCCTCAGATCGTCTGCTCAGCCTCTCTGAAACCCGGCTTCCTTGGCCGTTGGCTCATGTGCCTGTTCTGTGGCTGGACCATCGTCGGATGAGTGATGGGACAGGGTCACGTAAAATGCAGGGTGGATGTTGGGTGCTGAACCGGTGGCGGGGAGGGGATGTGGTCTGGCAGAAGTGCCTGAGCCAGACTCGGTGGGGTGGGGGTGTCCGGGAGGGCTTCCTGTAGGAAGTGGCATCTGGGAGCTTCACAGAGGTTGTGGGAGGCCTGGTTGGCGTGGCTCAGGCCTTGATGTGGGATGGTTTCGTGTGCTTGTGTGGTGCAGGGGGCGGGGACCAGGTTCAGAGACAGTGGCCAGGCCTGGAGAGCCTTTAAGGACCTTGGACTTGGATCAATCTCCCTGCATGTCAGACTCAGGTTCAAGGGCATTGGAGGGTGGAGGCTGCCGAGCCCCCTCTTCCCCAGCCCCCTCCCCAGCCAAGGGATATGGTGGGCGGGCGAGTTAGCTTGGGGTGCCTCCTTAAGGCCCACACAGCCTCAGATGCAAATTCTGATCCACCCCCACCCCTGGGGCCTGGAGAAACTGGAGAGGAAGTGCCTGGGGTTTGACTGGCTGCAAACTGTAAAAGTTCCAGCCCCAGCTGCTCCACTTCCAGTCCAGCTCTCTGCTGTGGCCTGGGAAAGCAGTAGAAGATGACCCAAGTGCTTGGGCCCTGCACCCACCTGGGAGACTGGGAAGAAGCTCCTGGCTTCGGATCAGCACAGCTCTGGCCATTGCAGCCATCTGGGGAGTGAACCAGCGGATGGAAGACCTCTCTCTCTCTCTCTGCCTCTCCCTCTCCCTAACTCTGCCTTTCAAGTAAACAAATCTTACACACACACACACACACACACACACACACAGCCAGGACTTGACCCAGGCGCCCTGTTGTGGGCTGTGGTGCTTAACCTGCTGTACCACGTGGGGTTTGCTACTTGGATGGCCTGGGGCAGGTCTGACAGCTGGACCGGAACTCCATCCGGGTCTCCCGCGTGGGTGGGGGGGGAAGCCCCTGAGCCCCGTCTGCTGCCTCCCCGGGTGCGCGCCTTAGCAGGGCGCTGGAGCTGGGACTGGAGCTCAAGGAACTCCCATACAGGATGCCTGTCCGTCCTGTGAGGTTTGATGGAGCCCCTTGGAAGACACCGGAGGCCGAGGGTCTCGGGACCCACCCCTACCCCATTAAGTCCGAGGGTTCAGGCGGCCACGATGGAGCAGCAGGGTCGCTGGAGCCTGGATCCCCCGTGCTTTTTGTCCCGGGACTTGCGCGGGGGTCTCAGGATGTGTCGCGGGGTTGCTGTCTCAGCCGCCGCCGCCTCCGCCGCTAGGTGGTGCCAGAGGCGCGGCCGCTGCCCGGGCTGAGCCCCGCGTCTCGCTCTCCCCACCCAGGCTCCAGAGGTGCGGGCAAGTCGGGCCCTTCGCCGTCGGCCTCCGCCTCTACCTAGCGGGCCGGCGCCCGAGGAGCACAGCCAACGCCGCCTGCGCCAGCGATGGGGACCCAGGAGGCTGCGCTTTGGAAGACGTCACCCCCGGGGACCTGGCCAGGCCCGGAGCTGACCTTGGGCACCCCGCACCCTTCCCCGCGGGGACCTGCATCTCCCCAGAGCTGGGCGAGCAAGCAGTGGGCGCTCAATAAATGCGTTGTCAGCCGCAGACTGAGACCCTGAGTTGGGACAAGGTGGCCGGGGCCTTGCTGGGCTGAGTCTTGGGTCCGCCCTGGGGTGCTGGGGGGATGGAGACGGCGCGGCGGGGCTGCCACCACCCAGCGCCTCTCAGGGGGATCTGGAGACAATGATGACACCCCCTGGGCAGCGGGGTGGGCAGAGGCGGACCCCTGTTGGCTGAGGGCTTGGGCAGGAGTGGAGCGGCTGGGGGGGGGGGTGTCCGTGCCCTGCTCGCCTCCTATCGTCCAGCTGGGGCAGCAGGGGACAGCTGGAGGACGAGCGAGGTGACCAGCACAGCGGTCTGCCTGCCCACAGCTCTCCGAGTGTCCCCGAGTGGGCGGTGGGGCAGGTTGGGGGCCCTGGGCATTGGAAAGGGGGAGTCGGGCCTCCTTTGGGGGGCTGATAGAGGAAACCGGGAGGGCTCCCTGGCAGCCTCCAGGGCCTGTGCTCAGTCAGGGCAGCCATCCCCTGCCGCTGCTCCGGCTCCCCCCACCCTGCGTTGGGAGCCTGCAGCATGAGGGGCGGGAGCAGCCCCGGGAGTGCGGGGCCTGGCAGTGACCAAGGTGGACTGGGCACCAGTGGACCGACTTGGGACGAGGACGGGTTCGGGTCAGCAGCAGCCGTGTGGCGGGCCACCTCCTCCTGGCTGGACTCCGGGAGTGCCGGCACCCAGCCTGGCCCCCAGCCCTGCGTGGCCTCAGTTCTTGGTGGGGTGGCCCTCACTGCCCCCCATCTGCGCGTGCACACGTGTGCAGGGCCAGCTACACCTCAGGGAGACCAGCCCTGAGCTTGGAGACGGGGGAGGGGGGGACCCGCGTTGGGGGGAACCCCCGTGGGAAACCACGAGGGCCGAGGCCTCCCTCCACACTCCTTTATTGCTGGCATTCCCCGAATAAAGCGCCCCCCCCCCCCGGCGGAGGTGCCGCCAACAAAGGGAGCCCCTTTTTCCTGGGGAGGTCGGAACCTTCCGGAACCTGGGCCCTCAAACGGCAGGACTTCCGGGCGAGAGCAGGTGTCTTCCCCGGACCCCCAAGCGCGCGGCCTAGAGACCCCTCCATGGGTACTGGGGGGCGTAGGGCCCGGGGCCCCTCCCCGCCGCCGCCGTCTTCCTGTGCTGCAGCCGCCGGAAGGCGTCCAGGTCCCGGTGGGCGCCCATGATCAGCCGGCTGCGGCGGGGACACGGGCGGCACGCGCGGCTCGCAGGGGTGCCCGTGGAGGAGGGGTCCCGGGGTCGCCACCCCCTCCCGACCCAGCACTTACTTCAGGTTGGAGAGCTCGACGATGAGGCCCCGGACCGTGTCCGTGGCGTCCTCCATGCTGACGGCCTCGGGCACCCTGCGCGGGAGGAGGCAGAGGGGCCCTGGCTCACGAGGGGCCCGCCCGGCCCTCCCGGAGCACGGCTTCTGGAAAGTCCGTGGGGGGGGGGGGCACTTCCCGATCGTGGCCAGATTTCAACCCCTTCCCCTGGTCTCTGCTCGATCACCTGCCCCGTCCCCACCCCCCACCCCCAGGCCTCAGCGCTGGGGTGCCCAGGGCAGCGCCTGCAGAGAAGGCCCAAGGCCTAGGGCGGGCTGGGCCAGGAGCCGGGGACCCTCCTGGCCTCGGGTGAACGCCCGGCAGGGGGGACCACGAGGCACAGGAGGTGCCAGGGACAGGGGGTGTGGTGGGAACAGGGCCTGGGGGGGGGGAGGGGCAGCCAAAGGGGGGGAGGCCAGCCCAACCCCCTCCTCCAGTCCCCAGACAGAAACAGAACCTACCCTAGCCTGAGCAGGGGTGTGTTCAGGTGCGGGTAGTGGGAGAGGGCAGGGCCCCGGGAGGATGCGGGAGGAGGGACTGGGACAGACGGACAGATGGACACACACCCCACCCACCCACCCGTGGTTGCAGTCAGGTGGGAGAGAAGTGGCAGGGAGGAGGGTGGGTTAGGGTTGCTCCAGCTCCCCTGGCCCAACGCCAGGGCTGGGGAGTGGTCTTGGGTGGTCTCAGCCAGTGCTTCGTAGCCCTGCTGGGTGGGGTCCCTACCTGCCACGGGGTGGGGGGCCTCAGGGGAAGCCCCAGACCTTCTTCCCAGAGACCACCCCCTTGCACGCAGGCCGTAGGGCATGGGCTCGCCACCCCCCAGGAGAGACGCCCCCTGCTGGTCGCCAGTTCCCTCTCTGGGCAGGTTTAAGGAAAGTGGAGCCCAGGAGCGGGGGACCGGGGCCCACCCTGGCGCCCTCCTTGTTAAGCCACGCACAGGGCTGTGGGCCGGGGTCCCGGGGGCCACTTCCGCCCCACCCTGCGCCTACCTCTGCTGTGGCCTGGCCACCGTGATAGGGCCTCTGTTGGCAAGAGGGCTGGGGTCAGGCCAGCAAGGACCCACGGGACACGCCTGGGAAGAGGGGACAGGGCCTGTGAGTGAATCTTCCGGTCCAGTGCAGGGGACACTTGCAGGGGCAAAGCGCCATGGAGAGGACGGAGCCCAGGCTGCTCCCTCCTCGCCTCTCCCCTGCACACACACGGAAAAGCAAGCAGACAGGGATGGAGGGAGAGAGAGAGAGAGAGAGAGAAAGAGAGAGAGAGAGGCAGAGAGAGGCGAGACGTCTTCCATCTCACTGGCTCCAACAGCTGGAACTGGGCCAGGCCCAAGCCAGGAGCCCAGAACTCCATCCGGGTCTCCCACGTCGGGGGCGGGGGCCTGAGCACTTGGGCCGTCCTCTGCTGCTCTTCCCAGGTGCATCCGCGGGGAGCTGGACGGGAAGTGGAGCAGCTGAGACGTGAACAGTGTTCACAGGTGAGGCTGGTGTCGCAAACGGTGGCTTAACCTGCTGGCCACCGTGCCTGCCCCAATTTTGTGGCTTAAAAAAAACAGTTTGGGGGGTGGGGTAGGGGTAGGATGGGCGAGGACCCCAGAGCCCAGCTTTTCAGCTGACCAGGAGCAGAAAAACCAGCTCCATCCATGGTGGGGGGTTGGGGGGGGCGGTCAGCTTTGGGTCTGTCCCCCGGCGCCCCTGCCTTCCCACCACCCCGGGGCCTCTGGAACCTTCCCATGGGAACCTGGCTGGTGGCTGAGTCGCCCCGACTTGCTGGGCAACGCCCCGTGTCAGGGCCCAGCACGCCTGCCCGGGTGTTGTCAGCCTTGTAGTGCTTGTAGTGGCCGGGGCTGCTGGGCAGGTCTGACCGCCTTGGCTCCTCCCATCTCTTGATCTTTTTTGGAGCAAATTCTCGAAGTTTGGTCTCCTGGGAGCATCTGACCCCCCCCCCCCGCCCCTCCCGCCAAGCTGTGCCTTGGAGCCCCCATTTTGCTAGCTTGAGAAACCCAGCCCCGCCCCCCCCCCCCCACACACACACATAAGCGGCTCTTTCTTTAGCCCCTGCGCCAGTGAAATCGGCTAATGTTTCAGGGCTGTTGTAGGAAAAAAACAAAACAGCTTCAAGGGCCGCGGTGCTTCGGGCCTGACACCCACCCTCAGGGACGCAGCTGGTGGGGGGAGGCAGGGGAACCGCACAGGGTGGCGGCCACATCTGCCCGCTGCTGGACAGATGCTGGGGGCCAGGCTGACCCGGGAGCCGCCCCAAGGCCGCCTCCCTGCCTCCCCTCCCAGCTGGGCCGCCTGCAGCTGGGGCCTTCGACCCCTCTGCCACACCCTCGCTGAAGACAGAGCACCGCCTCCACCCCCAGACTGCACCTGCAGGGCCCTGGAGCTTAGACTCCCGTCTCCCCCAGGGCCGGGGCTGCCACCTGGCAGGCTGGGTGAAGCCGCTGCTGGTGACCCTTGGCATCCCATTTCAGAGTACGTGGTGGTATCCGGCTGCCTTGCTGCCAATCCAGCTCCCGGGGAAGGCAGCGGGTGACGGCCCAAGTGCTTGGGCCCTGCTGCTCAACTGGGAGACCCGGATGGAGCTCCTGGCTCCTGATCAGCCCAGCTCAGGCTGCTGCGGCCATTTGGGGAGTGAACCAGCAGGTGGAAGCGCGCTCTCTCTCTCTCTCCCTCTCTCTGTGTAACTCTTTCAAATACATAAATAAATCTTGAGAGAGAGAGAGAGCACGCTTCCATCTGCTGGTTCACTCCCTACATGGCAACAACCACCAGTTCTGGGCCAGGCCAAAGCCAGGAGCCAGGAACTGCCTCCTGGTCTCCCACGTGGCTGCCAGGGACCCCAGCTCCCGATCCAACTCCTGCTTTCCCAGGTGCAGTAGCAGGAAGCCGGATCAGAAACGGAGCTGCAGGACTGGAACGGGCACTGGGATGTGGGATGCTGGTGGGACAGGTGGCCCCTTAACCCCCTGCACCACCGCGCCGGCCCGACACCAGGCTCACAAAGCGGCTCTGCTATGAGAGATCTCGGACAGAAAAGTGCAATTTTTTTTAAATAACACATTTCTCCCACGAACTCCTTGGAGCTCTCTGATTATATCTGAATACAGAATTCTATCCGCGCTCCCCCCGCCCCAAGGCCCTTGCTGGGTCAGGACTGAAGTCCCCTCTACAGGGCCAGTCATGAGGTCCCCGCCGCTGCAGGGCCCCCTTCCTGCTCCTCAACCCTCTGTGTGTCCCATGGGAGATCTCGGAGCAGGCACAGGCACAGGCACCAAAGGCGACAGGGGACAAGGGTGGGGGAAGCTGCCTGGGGTGGGGGCTGCCGTACAAGGAAGACAGAGGGTCCCCACAGCCACACATCCGGGACACCAAGACTCCCACGGCCGACAGGGCTGCGGCCTGGTGCCCTGGACTTGTGGGCTGTGTCCACGCGGCCCCATGAGGCCCGTGTCGTCCTCATCCCGCTCCCTCTGGGTGTCAGGTGTGGCACCTGCCCTGTGGCACCTGCCTGTGGGCGGCTCTTACCTGCTGGGGTGGAGCTTCAAAATCCAGCACGCCCTGGATCTGACTGTCCGGCAGGAAGTCGAGTTCCGTGGCTGAGGCCGCCTCCCAGGCTGCCTCAGGCTGGTGCTGGGGAGCCCTGCGCTCCTGGGCGGGGTCAGCCGCTGCAAGTCTGTCCCCAGGCAGAGCAGAGGCTCCGAGGGACGGACAGAGCCCCTCGAGGTCTGGTGGCTGGGGGCCAGGCCCTTGTCTCTGAGCGACATCTGGACTTGTTTGCAGGGCTGCGTGGCCAGAACCCGCAGCACCCACGGCGGGCTCTCTGTTCCCCGGGGCACCCGCGGGGCTGTCGCCGGTGTCTTCCGGCCCTGCTTGCTCTCTGCCCCCTGGGCTGTCCCCGGCCAGCGGCGTGTGGCCCAGCGGGGCCGGGCTGTGGCCTCCATCAGGGGCTGTCCCGCCGGGAGAGGCTGCAGAGCTGGGGGCCGCCTGCAGGGCCCTCTGTTCTGGCGCTGGGGGCTCTGTGGCGACGTGGGCTCCCGGGGAGGAGCGCCCCGGGCTGCCCGGCCCACTGACTGTCTCCCCTTGATTGCCAGGGCCTGGTCCCCAAGGGGGGCCCACGGCAGGAGCTGACACTGGGGTGCCTGCGGTCGCGTCTTCTTCCTCCTGGGGCCCCTGGGGCAGCTCCACCCCTGCTCCCCCTTGGGTGCCGCCCTCCTGGGGGGCTCCTGCCTCTGCCCCCCTCCCTGCAGCCTCACTGCCCAGCAGGGGGCCTTCCTGCCCGCAACTCACTGGGACCCAAGGCCTCTTTGTCTCCTGGCTGCTTTCATCACCCTCTGTGTGGGCCCCAGGGTCCTGGCTGGCCCTCTCTGAGACACAGGGCCACGCCCCCTCTCCCCCAGAGGCCGAGGGCAGGGTGTCCTCGCTGCTGGCCGCAGGGTCCCAGCCGCTGTACCCTGGGCAGGCGCTGTCTGACTCTGTCTGGTGTCCCAGGCCCTGGGTCTCCTGCAGCAACTCCGCCTGCCGGGCGCTGGGCTCCGACGGTGATGGAGCTTCCTGTGGAGAGAGGAGGACTCGGCACCAGCACCCAGGGGTGACTGGCCGTCACCACTGGTCCACTGACTCAGGCGCTGCACAGCTCGGGGCACTGGAAGATGGTTGGGTGCCAATGCTGGGGTTGGCCTCTCCTTCCACGGGGGACGTCTCCCGGCCAACACTGGGGGCACCCAGGCAGATCAGGGACACAAACCACCGGCATTTAGCCTGGTGGTTAAAGACGCCTGCTCAGTACCCACGTCCATGCCCCACGCCGGCTCCCTGCTCCCGCGCACCCTGGGAAGGCCGCAGGGCATGCTGGGTCTCTGCCACCCACCTGGGAGGCCTGGATGGAGCGCCTGGCCCCTGGCTTCCCCCCTACAGGCATTTGGGGAGTGAACCAGCAGATGGACACTCTCTCTGGCTCTCAAGCAAATATAAACATTATTATCTCTTTGAAAAGCAGAGTGTCACAGACACACACACACACACATACACGGAGATGGAGATAAAGAAAATCACTGTCCCTGCAGGTAGGAAATGGCCAGAGAGGGTGGTGGGAGGAACGGGAGGCGGGGCTGGGAGAGGAGGTGTGGCTGGGACATGGCGGGTGGGGGGGACGCTGTCCCTTGGGGAGGGCAGGGCCATCTTCCCAGCAGCTTGGGCCTGAACTCCCTGGCCCTGGCCCTGGCCCCAGAGGCCTGTGATCCTGGCACCTGGCGGTCACCTCCAAGGTGACACAGGTTCCTGGGCCTGCCCCGAGTCGCCACGTCTCCAGCCACTCAGGTCCCAGGCCCTGGAGTCCACCCCACTCCCCTCCCCTTACGCCCAGCCCGTCAGTGCTGCCTTCAGCAACGTCAGAACCTGGCCACCTCTGGCCAGTGCTGTCCCTGGGCCCCTGGCTCTCCGCTATCAACCCCTGGTGGGCTCCAGGCCCACCCTGCTGCTGCCTCAGGCCCTGCCTGGGTGTCCTCCTCCGCCAGCTCTGAGGCTGAGCCCCCACCCCCATGGCATCTGCAGGGGGGCTGCTCATGCTCACGTCTGTAACTCAGTGCGCTGGGCACGAGGGGTGCAGAGCAGGGCTCCCCCCCCACCCCTGCCCCCTGGGGGAGGCCGGGCCCGGAAGCGGACAGGGCCTTCCCGGCCTTACCGGGCTGGGGGTCCCACTGCTTCCAGCGGCCTTGTCTCCGCTTTCCGCTTTCCTCAGCGTCGCTGTCTTCCTGGGTTTTGCAAACTGGGGGACGAATCTCCCAGCTGCGTTCTGTGCGTGCCGGAGAAACAAAGCTACCGTCAAACCGGCCGCTTCCCTGCAGCCTTCGCCCTCCGGGCCTGGGGCCTCTGGTCCCCCAGCTCTGCCCTCCCCCCTCCAGCAGAGAGGTGGAACTTGAGCCCCGGGGAGGGGAGGCCGGGTGCCTGCAGCAGGTGCAGGGTACGCACCTGCGAGAGAGGAAACGGAGGCGGCTCCTTCTCCGGTGGCCCCGGGAGCCTGCAGGCGGCTCCTGTGTCCACATCTTGGGAGCTGAGTGGAGAAAGACCAAGCCGGGGAGACACTGACCAAGGGTCAGCCCGCCAGCCGGACGAACGGAAAACCAATTCCTAAACAAAAGCGGCGCCCAGGGACACCTGCTTTTACGGGGGGTGTGATGGATGGACGGACGGGCGGATGGACGGCGTGCCGCCCTCCCAAAATGCCGGGCCTGCCTCCTGGCAGGTCCTAAGAGACTGGCCAGGAGGGGCTGTCACTCAAAGAAGTGCCCTAAGCAGGGCCCCGGGCCATCTTCCATTTTGCGGGGGGGGGGGGGGGGGGGGGCAGTGAGGGCGTGAGCGGGACTTGTCATCACACATAGGTGGGTGGAGCTCACACAGGCAGACTTCAGAGCTATGCACAAAGGCCAGCGTGGTGGCACCTGGGTTAAGTCCCCGCTTGGGACACCCACATCCCATACGGGCTCGGTTTGAGTCCCAGCTGCTCCACTTCCCATTCAGCTCCCTGCTCATACACCTGAGAAAGCAGTGGAGGATGGCCCAAGTGCTTGGCCCTTGCACTCACGTGGGAGACCCGGATGGAGATCCTGGCTCCTGGCCCCAGGTGTTGTGGCCATTTGGGGAGTGAACCAACAAATGGACAATCTTTCTTTCTCTCTGTCACTCTGCTTTTCAGATAAATACAATCTTTTTTTTTCTTTTAAAGAAACATGCCCCAACATAGGTTGCATGAATGATAGATAAGGCCTAAGCTCCCACCAGGACAGGGATTCTGGTGTTAAAATGCAGCAAAGGGTGATGGCCCAGGGACACTTCCTGACCCGTCTGGGTGGCCCCTGCAGGAGGGCCTGGGCCACCCCGGGGTTGTGAGGTGGGTGGAGACTACCCCGTTCCTGGAATGTGACGGAAAACCTCAAAGACAGCTTTTAGGGTCTCGAGATTGAAATGAGTTACACTAGAGATTTTAGGGGGCTGGCGCTGTGGCGTAGCAGCTAAATCCACTGCCTGCGGTGCCAGCATTCCATGTGGGTGCCGGTTCGAGTTCCGGCTGCTCCACTTCCGATCCAGCTCCCTGCTATGGCCTGGGAAAGCAGCGGAAGATGGCCCAAGGTCTTGGGCCCCTGCACCCACGTGGGAGACCCTGGCTCCTGGCTTCAGATCAGCGCACCTCTAGCCATTGCAGCCAATTGGGGAGTGAACCAGTAGGTGGAAGACCCCTCCCTCTCTCTCTCTCTCTCTCTCTCTCTCTGCCTCTCCCTCTCTGTGTAGCTCAACTTTCAAATAAAGAAATCAGTCTTTAGAAAGAGCAGACAGAGGGCCGATACTGCGGCTCACTAGGCTAATCCTCCACCTAGTGGCGTCAGCACACCGGGTTCTAGTCCTGGTCGGGGCGCCGGATTCTGTCCCGGTTGCCCCTCTTCCAGGCCAGCTCTCTGCTGTGGCCAGGGAGTGCAGTGGAGGATGGCCCAGGTGCTTGGGCCCTGCACCCCATGGGAGACCAGGAGAAGTACCTGGCTCCTGCCATCAGATCAGCGCAGTGCGCCAGCGGCGGCCATTGGAGGGTGAACCAACAGCAAAAGGAAGACCTTTCTCTCTGTCTCTCTCACCGTCCACTCTGCCTGTCAAAAAAAAGAAAAGAAAAGAAAAGAAAGAGGAGACGGAGGAGGATTTGCCCAGCACAGGATCGAGCTGCTCTCAGTAACCTTGAACCTTGTCCGTGGCTCCGACGCGGACGGGCCCTGGGCAGGTGTGGGAGGCGCAGCGTGGGGCAGGCATGGCGGCCCTCTGCCCTGAGTCCCTCCCCGTCCCCCGGCTGCTGGGGGCCGACAGGAAGGGGTTCACGGAGCCACCTACCTGGGCCCGGCCTGCCCTGGCTGCTCCTGGCTGTGCTCCGGAGAGGAACTGGGTCCCGATCTGCTCTCCGACTCCTCCAGGTGCAGCGTGGGACTCTGGGAGCCCCCGTCAGGCTCTCCCAGCCTTGGGTCCTTGGGGGCTCTCAGAGGACAGAGGGCTCCTCCTGGGGGCAGACAGAGGGAGACGCTGGGAGCCTGCGCAGCCGAGGACAAAGAGCAAATCGCGCAGGGCCGCTGCTGTGCCCGAAGCGGGCGGGCGGGCGAGCGGCCAGGGCACGGGACCCGTTCTGCGGCTCTCCTGGTGAGCGAGAGGTGGGCAGCAACCCTGTTCAGGGCCCGCAAGCTTACAGGGACATGGGATTCAAGAGTGGCATAGCGGGTGAAGCCGCTGCATCCCACGTGGGCGCCGGTTCGAGTCCCGGCTGCTCCACTTCCGATCCAGCTCCCTGCTATGGCCTGGGAAAGCAGTGGAAGATGGCCCAAGTCCTTCTGCCACCCACGTGGGAGACCCGGATGGAGCTCCTGGCTTTGGCCTGGCCCAGCGCTGACTGTTTCGGCTATCGGGAGTGAACCAGTGGATGAAAAATCTCTCTCTCTCCCTCCCTCTGTAACTCTGATTTTCGAAATAAATAGTTTTAAAAAGTTTACTTATATTCATCTACTAGAAAAGGAAAAGAGAGAGAGAGGACTTTACCTGCTGGTTCACTCCCCAAATGGCCGCCACAGCCAGGGGCTGGGCCAGGCTGAAGCCAGGAGCTCCATCCGGGTCTCCACGTGGGTGCAGGGCCCAAGCACTTGGGCCAGTATCAGCTGCCTTCCTTCCCAGGCCATAGCAGGGAGCTGGATCAGGAGAGGAGCAGCCGGGACTCGAACCGGTGTCCATACGGGATGCTGGCACTGCAGGTGGCGGCTTTACCCGCTACGCCACAGCACCTGCCCTTCCTTGCCCAGCCAAGGTGTTGATGGGTGTCTACTTGGTGACCAAAGCAAATGCCCTCGCACAGAAAGTGCCAGTGGTCATGGGTTGGCTTTGGAGATCCCCCCCCCAAAGCGGGCCCCCAACCTAATCATGCATTCAATGAAGAAATGATTCAGTGAAGAAATGACTCGAGTTGGAGCTCTGTGCCAGTTGCTGTGTGTGTGTGTGTAAGTTGGGATCCAACTCGGAAGCAGGGAGCAGTGGGCTTTTACCCTGCCCCCATCCCCGAGGTGTCCACCCCAGAAACTTCCCTGGTGGGGGTTCCCCCACGAACCCCATCCCTGCCCTGGGCTCTGCCAGGCAAGACAAAAATGCAGCAGCTTTGTTTCTCCGGTTCCCCCACAACCCCCAAACCCAGGCTGCCTGGCTCACTCCATGGACGTTTGTACGAAATGAAAAATATAAAAAAAAAAAAAATCGGGGGGGGGGGCAAACAGCCTCGTGTTTTCTGCCCAGGATCTGTTCCCCCGCGGGACTTCAGACCCCAACGAGGCGGAACTCTGTGTCCAGCACCAAAGCCACCGGGAGACAACGGGGACGGGGGTGGGGGTGGGGCTCTCAGCATGTTCCAGGACCTTCCAGAACCTTCTTCCTTGGTCCCCTCCTCGCCGACGTCCGCTGAGCGGGTGCGGCTTCCGCCAAGAGGAGCTGCCCGTGGGTGGCCCCGGGCCTTTCTCGCCAAGGTCACGGCCACCCCCGCGGCTCTCGGCGCCTGATGCTCACATCTGCACGAGGCATTTCCCATCTGCTGGTCATCTGCCCTGTCCCGCGTGTGGGGGGGAGACCGGCGAGCATCCCCCCTCCCCCTACATCCGTGAGCCACGCAGAAGTGGCCTTTGTACTTCTCTGCTAAGTGGGGGGGGGTGCACCAATCGCTGACAACACCGGGGGGGGGGGCGAGCTGAGCTGGATCCCCCCCCTCCGCCCAGGGTGTAGTTGAGGGCCTGGAAAAAAGACCCAAAAGCCGGGCAGCTTTGAGCTTGAATGGACAAAGTACCTGAGGTCCGGAGCTTCTTCCTCTTAGTCATCTTATGTCTCCCGTGAGAAATCTGCGAACAACGGCCCCAGTTAGAAGCAGGCCCGGCCGCGGCTCTGCAGCCAGTGGTCCCCACCCCTATCCGAGCCTGCTCCCCAAGGGGGTCGCTTCAGCCCCAGCAGGGCTCGGAGGGGGACCCCTGGGCGCGACCACCCCCCCCACACTGCACAGGGGAGCGGCCCCGAGGCCGTGGGGTAGGGGTGGGGGCTCTGGCTCCAGCCCCTCGCTCCAGGCAGGGGCATCCGGGGTTGGTCCGTGAAGGCGTCCCAGAAAGTGACCTTCCAGGTCACTTGGGGACACTGCAGGGGCCCCCCAGCGGCTCTCCCAAGGACTTGGAGGGAGCGGGCCAGCCCCGGCCGACCTGGGCCACCTGGATCTGCTGGTGGATAATTAAACTATCTGTGTTTCCAAAAAGGCCAAGGCGACTGTCACCGAGTTCCGGTCGGCCGAGGCCTGGGCGCTGTGGCCCCCGGCTGGTGGTGACCGGTCCCCCCACCACACACACTAACACTACCCCGGACCCCGAAAGCGGGGACCCGCTAGCTCAAGAGAAGCCAGAGCCCGCGTGTGGTCGCAAGACGCCTCGAACCCGAGGCCCTCAGCGTCCCTCACACCTGCTCGAGCTCCGCCTCTTTCCCGCGCAGTGCCGGGCCCCGCCCCGCGCATGCGCGACACGAGCTCCTCCGCGACGGCGTCCACCGCCCCTCCTTCAGGCGCATGCGCCCCGGCCCCTGCGCAGTGCCTGCCGGGAGTTGTAGTTTCGGTGAGGCGGGCCCGGCGAGTCCAGTGGCCGCGCTCCGGTGCGGCGGCGCCCAAGGGCCAAGGCGGAAGTGGGGCAGCCACCTGGCAGGGGGAAGGCCAGACAAGGGCGCGAGGTTGGCGGCCGGGGGACACCGACCAGGAGGCGCGGGGCTCACGAAGTGGGCGTGCACGGCGACCGCCCCCCCCGCCCCCCGGGAGGAGGCAGCGCAAGGCCAGGCGCAGGGGCCGGTGGTCCAGGCATCCAGCCTGGAAGATGAACAAGAGGAAGGGACCTCCGGGACCCCCGGGCCGAGGCGCTGCAGCCGCCCGCCAGGTGAGTCTGAGCCCCAGGGCTCCTCACCCCGAGTCACACGCGCAGGGGAGGGCCCCACCCCCCCGCGGAAGCCTGATCTCCGCCTCCCCCCAGGTGAACCCCGGTTTCTCGCCCTCCAGGAGAGGCTCGAGCCTCCCCTCACCCCCAAAGCGCGGCCTACAGGCTTTGGGTCCCCAGCGCCTGGTGCCCCGCCCCGGGCTCGAGGCCACCTGTTGCTACATTAGCTCAACTGGGGAGGGGCCGCCCCTGGACCTGGCTTATCCAACCCTTGCCCTGGCTGGGTTCGTCTTATTCCCTTTGCTCAGATGAGTTCACCGAGACCAGCAGAGGTGCAGACAGCTGTCCAAGGTCACAGGGATTAACAGCTTGGCCGAGTTAAGTCCAAGTCCAGAACTGCCGCCATAAATCCGCGTGTCTGTGGCTGCTGCCTCTCCCCCACCGGCCCACTCCTCTGCCCCAGGCACCAACGGAGTTTGATTTATTCTCTGCTGTGGCATAGCCGGGGAAGGCCGCCACCTGCAGTGCCGGCATCCCATAGGGGCGCCGGTTCGAGTCCTGGCTGCTCCACTTCTGATCCTGCTCTCTGCTATGGCCTGGGAAAGCAGCGGAGGATGGCCCAAGTGCTTGGGCCCCTGCATCTGTGTGGGAGACCCGGATGGAACCCCTGGATTCGGCCTGGCCTCAGCTCTGGCCATTGCAGCCACTTGGGGGAGTGAACCAGAGGATGAAAGACCTCCCTCCCTCCCTCCCTCCCTCTCTCTCTGTATCTCTGTCTTCCAAATAAATAAATAAATCTTCATTTAAAAAAATTTCATTGAGATGACTTATAGAGTTTATGAAACTCCATGAGAGGAAAAAAAGAATGAAAAGGCATTTGTCTTTTTTTATTTTTAATAACTTTTTGAAAGTTATATTTATTTATTTTGAAAGAGAGAGAGGGAGAGACAGAAACAAAGAGCTATATCCGCTCCCCAGATGGCTGAATTGGCAGGGGCTGGGCCAGGCCAGAGGCAGGAGCCAGGAGTTTCATCCGGGTCTCTCATGTGGGTGGCAGGGGCCCAAGTACCACTGCTTCTCCCAGGCCATCAGCCGGGAGCTGGATCAGAAGTGGAGCAGCCGGGACGGGAACCCTGCCGCCCCCGTGGGATGTTGGTGCCGCAGTGCCGCCCTGTATCTGTCTGTTTAACGTAGCACTCGATAAATGTCATGGTGTGTCCTGGTACTTGGAGCCATACTGAAGTTTGGCTGTTTTTTTAAATTTATTATTTAAAAGACTTATTTATTTTTAAAGATTTATGTATTTACTTTGAAAGAGTTACACAGAGAGAGAAGGAGAGGCAGAGAGAGAGAAAGAGATGAGAGAGCGAGAGGGAGAGAGAGAGAGAGGTCTTCCATCCGCTGGTTCACTCCCTAATTTGCCGCAATGGCTGGAGCTGCACCGATCCGAAGCCAGGAGCCAGGAGCTTCTTCCAGGTCTCCCACGCAGGTGCAGGGGCCCAAAGCCTTGGGCCATCCTCTGCTGCTTTCCCAGGTGCATTAGCAGGGAGCTGGATCGGAATTGGAGCAGTCAGGTCCCAGCCCGGGACCTGCAGGGGATGCTGGCATCGCAGAGGGAGGCTTCACCTGCCGCGGCCACAGCGCCGGCCCCCTGTGGCCCACTTTCCCCTTCTCCACCGATGTCAGGGTTTCTGGCCAATGCGTCCACTTGCCTGCACTCGCCCTGTGCCGAGGACACTGGAGAGAAAAGCTGGAGTGTGTGGACTGTTCCCACACTGCCCTGGCTCTCTCCACCTGCCCCTAGCCCCAGAGCGCCAGGCCCAGCCCGGGACACCCGTTCCACCTGTCCCAGCCTCCTGGGACGCGGCTTTCCCCAGGGAGACCTCCGTTCCGTGCTCCTGAGGGGACTCGGCACTGTGGCAGCTCCCGCCGGCCTCGCATGCACCCGCAGCATCTGCCTCTTCTTCCTGCAGCTGGGCCTCCTGGTCGACCTCTCCCCGGACGGCCTGATCATGCCCGAGGACGGAGTCAATGATGAGGAGCTGGAGGCCGAGTTCCTGGCCCTGGTGGGAGGCCAGCCCCCAGCCCTGGAGAAGTTCAAAGGCAAAGGTGAGTTATGCGTAGCGCCTCCCCCTAGACGTTTCTCTGTGCCACAGCGCTACCCGCCCCTCGCCCTTTAAAGATTTATTTATTTACGTGAAAGGCAGAATGAGAGAGAGAGAGAGAGAGATCTTCCATCTGCTGGTTGATTTCCCAAAGGCCTGCAACAGTCCGATTTGGGCCGGGCTGAAGCCAGGGGCCAGGAGCTCCATCCGGGTCTCCCACGTGGGTGCAGGGGCCCAAGGACTAGGGCCTTCTTGTACTGCTTTCCCAGGCAGGTTAGCAGGGAGCTGGATCGGAAGTGGAGCAGCCGGGACTGGGACTGGAACGGGCGCTCCTATGGGATGCCGACGCACAGGTGGCCGATTAACCCACTGCGCCACAGTGCTGGCCCAGCATCCACCCGTCTTAGTACCATGAACAAAGACTGGGGGACAAAAAACTGGGGTGTGCGTTCAGGGAGACACGCCCTAGCAGCTGTCTGCCCGGGCTGGCAGAACCGGTAACATCACGCCCACGCGAGGCAGCGACGGTGCTGTGAGTAGGTGTGGTTTTCCGTGGCCTGCTTCCTATCTCCGTGCACTCTGGGGGTGAGCAGGCTGTTCAAGGACACCCCGCCCCACCCCTCACGCACTGCGCAGGTGCAGTTCTGTGTTCCCACTGCGTGTCACACTGGCTCCCGCTGCACGGGTTACAGAGCTGCCGGCCTCAGGTTCAAAGTTAACTAGTGAGCTGTCCTTAAGTCAATAAGGCATCTCCAGGGCCAGGGTTCGGCTCCGTGGCGAAGCCACCGCCACGTAGGACCCCCGCATCCCATATCGGGAGCACTTGGATTTGGGTCCTGGTTCCAGCTTCCTGCGCGGGTGCACCCTGGGAGGCAGCCGCTGATGGCACCGTGTGTGTGTGTGTGTGTGTGTGCGCGCACACCAAGTGCTTCGTTCACCATCTGCGCCCACCGCCTCCCTGCGCGGGAGGAACTGCTGTAATCCCCCCGTAGAGCATGCGGAGAAGCCCGACCCCCGGGGCTGGGGCTGGCACTCAGGAGCCCGGGTCCAACCCTGAGGCTGCCTACGGAGCAGCTGAGGCCATGGGAGCTTGCGGGGGGCTGGGCCGCCCCCTGTCCCTCGGAGCTGTGGCTAGCCAGGACCGGAAACTCCGGGCCCGGGAAGATCCTGCCCCTAGCTGGGGACCCCCCTTTGCTACCAGGTCCCCTGCCCATGGAGGCCATAGAGAAGATGGCCAGGCTGTGCATGCGGGACCCGGACGAGGACCAGGAGGAGGGGACAGACGAGGAGGATGTGGAGGCGGACGATGACCTGCTGGTGAGCAATTCGGGCGTGGTGTGGGCGTGGTGTGGGCGTGGTGTGGGCGTGGCTTCCTCCCTGGGCCCGCCCACGGCCGCCCTCACACCCCGCCTCCGGGCTGTGTCTCGCTGCAGGCAGAACTGAATGAGGTCTTAGGGGAGGACCCCAAGGCCTCGGAGCCCCCGCCGCCCGTGACCCAGGTACGGCTCTCGCGGCCGGCTGCCACTTCCTCCCGTGACCTGGCGCTGCAGGGAAGGGGGAGGCAGAGGCAGGCCTTGGAGGGAGTGGGGGTGACAAGGCAAGGAGGGGGCGGGGCGGCCGAGCGGAGCACCCCCTTCCCCAACTGCACCGCGTGTCCCTGGCGCCTCCCGCAGCCCAAGCCCGCAGCCCCCAGCCCAGGCGTGGGAGCTACCTTGCAGGACAGACTGAGGCTCTACCAGACGGCCCTGGAGAGCGCGAGGCAGGCCGGGGACAGCGCCAAGATGCGGCGCTACGACCGAGGGCTTAAGGTGAGCAGGCGGAGGGTGGGACGCAGGCAGCCCCACGCCCGCGCCCCAGCCCCTGCCTCCCACTTCTCCCAAACCCACCCCTCACCGGCTCGTCCCCAGACGCTGGAAAGCCTGCTGCTTTCCTTCCGGAAGGGCCATGCCATCGACGAAGAGGACATCCCGCCGCCGGTGGCCCTAGGGAAGAGCCCGGGGGCCGCTCCTGGCCACACCCCGGCCCCCGCCCAACCCGAGTCCAGGCTCACCCTGGAAGCGCCTCCCCTCAGCGCTCCAGCGACCCCTGCAGGCTCCATCAAGCCCCAGCAGCCTCCAGGTAAGGCGGTGGGCGGGGCCTGGGTGGGTGCTAGGAAGTGAAACGGGTGTGTGTGTGTGTTTGTATGGAGGAATATTAGACAGCCCTGAAAATGACAGAATTCTTAGCATCTGCTCCCACCCCCCAGGTAGGCCTGGGAGACGCTAGGCTGAGAGAAATTAGCCAATCACAAGAACGCAAATCCTATAGGACTAGACATGGAACTGTGAAATCCAGAGACAGGAAGTAGAATCTGTGTGTGTGTGTGTGTGTGTGTGCACCCGCATGCCGGGGACCGAGAGGAAGGAGCGGGGCAATGCGTGTTTCATGGACTCCCGACTTTCCCTTGGGGAAGATGGAGAATGTTCTAGAGAGATCAGAGCGGTGAGGGTTGCACAGCACTGCCAACAGCCCAGGGCTGGGGCAGGCTGGAGCCTGGAGCCTGGAGCTTCCATCCG